TCTGTTTTTCATTCCTGTAACTTATTAGGTTTCTTGAACATCTTTGGTCAGACCTACTTATTTAGGAAATTATAGAAAGACACGGTGTGCTCTCAAATGATGAGTTGTGAAGATAGATTAGACCCCATGGCATGCTAGCATTATGATCTTCATCTTCAAAAACTGTTCTCTTCCATGAGACCACTGCCTATCTGCTGCTAGAAGCTTTCGACCTATGCTGCCAAATATTGCAAATCAAATTTTAATAGTAACATTGTGATTTTAATTAAACCCTTCTTATAAATCTCAGCAAGGTGGTGTGACTGCTAGAGAAATTGGGTACTCAACAGTGTTCATGTCAAGATATTAATGAAACGAAGTGGAATGATTTCTAGAAATCTGTGTGGATGGGAGACAAGGCCCTCTGCACACACATCGATGAAACATTTATGAAGGTGCTCTTGAGATAATCCTCATATAGCAGGTGTTTTTACTGGAAGTCTTGGAAGTTCCCTGAATAGTCTAGTCTTGAGCAGCTAGACTACTGGCTGAAGTTGCTTCCCTCGGGCCAAACTGTTTTGGCTTAAACAATCTGACTGTTTTTCATCTAGTAAATGAACCAACTTTCTGAAAGATTACTTACACTTTCTCCCATGTTCCTTATGTTCCTACTTTGTGGTTGATAGTGTTCCAAGGACTATATTCAGTTAGTTCAATAGTTAGGGGAAATCTGAAGTTTCTCATAGGATTGCTTTGAAAATAGGAACCTTTCCCCTAAAGAGGAACTTTTAAAACTAGGCAAATTAATTTTTACAAGAGCAAGTTCAAACAAAACCATTACTGTTTATATCCAAGAATGTGTCCACATATCCCATTTATCTTAAGATGCAGATAGACTTCCCTATGGAAACATAAAGATAAAATAGAACAAGATCAACCTACATTTCTGCATTTCTTCCCTAGTTTGTAGAACATTTTCACAAATGGGCTCTCTCTCTCTCTCTCTCTCTCTCTCTCTCTCTCTCTCTCCTTCCTCTCCCCTGTGGGCATGCTTGTTTAACTTTCTTTTTTGTCTGCAGATCACCTATTTCCATAATGTTCTTGAGTCTTTGAATTAAAGAATCATTATTCAGAAACAAGTGGAGCCCCCGAAAGTTTGATTATCTACATTCTCACCTTTGTGTGAAGCAAATGAGGTAGGCTCCTCGGTAGACACTGGTTAGGCGCAGACGCTATGAAAAATGCAATTCAGACTGAGTCATTGCTTGTCATTGTCATAAATGAGACCCTAATTCTGATGGGCCCTGGTGAATGGCTGTAGTGACTAAGCAAGGCCAAGGCCATGGACTTCTGCAGGGTGTTATCTCATTTGCAACACATTTCAAACTTCTGAACGGATTTTTCAATTGCAAGTAGAAAGCTGAAGATTGTCAGCCGAAAAAGCTGACTCACCCCCCCCCCCCCCCCGGAACTTATCTAACTCCAAGCTCCAGGAGAAGCCTTTAAAGAGGGGGCGTTATCTAGGGCCGGTAGGATGGCTCAGTGGGTAAAGGCACTTGCAGCCAAGGCTAATGACTTGCCTTTGATCCTGGGAATCCACATGGTGGAAGCAGAGAACCTACTCCTACAAGCTGTCTGAGTTACACAGGTGCCATGGCATGTGTGTATAACACACACACACACACACACACAAATAAAAGAAAAAATGTAATAAATATTTTTTCAAAAGAAGTTACCTAAAAGAACATAGAGAACAATTATAATACATAACAACCAGAACAAGGGCATCATGTGTATCTTAACCACCTTGGAACTTATGTTTATTTGAATGGGGACTTCTTACCCTCAGATGCCTCTCTTTCAGCACAAGCCCTGCATGTTTATGGATCCCTAAATGAGTTACTGTTTTTTCTCCTCCCAAACGTTTCTTTAGTGATGAGAGTCTTTAGTGGTTGTAATCATAACTATAAGCTCATTCTTAATAGTTGATAAGATGGTATTTAGGAAGCAGAGCCTTGGCAAGGTTCTAGGAAAATATATAAGGAAAATCTTGTATAATTTTAATAGTGGTAGGCTCATGGTTAATTGGCTATTGCTTTGATTTGGAACCATAGGTAGACTTTTGAATAACCAAAAGATACTTAGAAAATGATGAAAATACCTCAGAAGTCCCTTTAATGAAGAGAACTAGAGAAATGGCAGAGAATGGTTTTGACCTGAGACATGTATAAAGGTTCTGCTTGGAGAATAACTTGTCTATGAAGAAAAAGCAGACAAGCTCTTATTACCATAGCAAGATCTATGTTGCAATTGAACTCCACGGCGGAGGCCTGGAGTGGTCCACTACAGGTCCCTCCCAATTAAACGAGAAGGTTGCGGGAGCTGGAAAGATGAAGCCTTAATAATACATTGTCATCCACAACTACAAAGCAGGTAGATCCAGGAAGGGAGCCCACACAAAAATTCCCAAGGAAGGTGGGTTCTTTCCACGGTTTATCTCGGTTTTTAATCCTTGATGGGGCAGTCATCCCATTACCACTAATTAGACATGCCAAAGTCATTGTTCTAACTTGTTGCTTCAGTAAAGGGGCATGCGATCCCTCACGATGTGATTTCTAGACATGCCAGCTGCTAGCAAGTGTCTCAAGCACTCTGCAGGACAGTTTTGTCCCTGAGAGAGGAGGATGTTTCACAGCAAGTTTTTCCTTGCAAAGCTGGTGGAAGGTGGTGAGTGGAGGAGCCAAGGCACAGGTTTTTTTGGCAGTAGACAAATTGATAGGAAATGCTTTTGTTCCATATATTATCCTTGCAGAGTTAGCACTGAGAAATGTAATTGAAATAAATTGACACAAAAGCCAACTAGGAGAGGGACTGGAAATCCCCCTGGAGACACCAGCCTGTCACTTCCTCCTAATGGCAGCAAAAGATAATTGTGGACAAATACAGTGGAGTTCTATCATTGCATTTTTCTTTCAGCAATGTTCTGTTACCTTGTATTTTCTGAAGACATTGATTACTTCCTCTGCTTCCAAAGTATGGCACAACCCATGAGACCAGGTAGGAAGAGAGCTACCTTTTATTTCACCCCAACACTTTGTTAATTAGAACACACTGAAGGGAAAAGAGGAGTGAGGCACAGTTCTCTGTTGGGTTTAAGTTTCTTAGCGCTGCGACGAAAATATGGCCCCTGGCACGCACTTTGCCCTCTTCATGACATCATGAAGCCATCTGCTTTATCATATCCCCTGTCTGGTCACAACTGGCTTTTGGGTTCTCCAAAATGCCAAACCCAGAGTCTCGCAAGTGCTCACACACAAAGGACTGTGCTCAAGCTAAATTGGGAAGGGTGTTTGTCCATCCGCCCCTGGAACTCCCCCAAGCAGGAAGAATCCTGAGGGTTTTCCAGTTTCAGGTAAAACCGTCAGCAAGAAAAGAAGGAAAACAAGCCAGCTTTGGCCATCATTCACATGGCTGTTACTCATTCTCTGAGAGGAGTTGTCCATTAACTAGCCACATCTCTGGCTCCGTTAGCATCACAGGGAGGAGTTTGCACCCCCTGGATAATTAACCACTGAGAAAGCTCACAATTAGCATTCATCTCCCACCCCAGACACATAAGTACACCCCGGTCACACTGTTAAGGGAAATATCTTTTCTGGTCTACAGTGTGTGACTTCAGTAAGTGAAAGTGAAGAGACACAGGCTGATACAGCTTGCAGTGACTATCCTAAGAAAGTGTCTTCATAGAAAAAAAAATGAGTGGGAGAGAGAAATGTGTGAACATTCCACATGATTAAACTTCCTGGTTCTTGAATGTTCTCAGTAGTACTTAAGTTAGACGACCAGCCCCTTGCAAACCGAGACCTGCGTGTAACTTCCCATAAAATATGGATTTTATTGCAGCAGCGACAACATTCCTCAGTACCACGTTGACCTCGCCAGCATCTCCCATCTCGAGATGGACCGTAACTCTTGGCAGGCGAATAACTACGGAGGAAGTGACCCCAGCTCTGCTGCAGTGTAGGACGGTGCATTAAATTCCACATGAACGCATTGGGAACTCCGCTCCTTCCTTTGATACCTAAAATCAGGCGCACCAGATCTGCTTTCCAGTCAGAGGAAGGCATTCTCCCCCAGATGTGTGTGTGTGTGTGTGTGTGTGTGTGTGTGTGTGTGTGTGTGTGTGCGTGTGCGCGCGCGTACAGCCGTGGAAGAGCTCTGGAGAGCGGCGTCTTCCACATGACTTTTCCCTGGACAGTGTGCTCCATTTTCGAAGTCCAGTGTCAGACTTGCCTTGCAGCCTAAGCATTTTTGTCCTATAGAAGCCTGCAGGCATTGCTCCCAACATGCAAGCTAACAGTTTCCTTTAGCTCATTCCCTCAGCCAAACCATCTCTGTAAGTTTTCCTTATTGGGAGCATTCCAGAGTTTTCAGACTACCTGAATTAATTTCTGCGTTACTCTCGAAGCCAAAAGCGTAACTCGGCCCAAGCATTCACCACACAGACCCTTGTATTGTTGGGTAGGTGGAAATAAATCAAGCCCCAAACGGCTCCACCGCTCCTGCACGCACTAGCGCCCTTGGTAATTGACCAGCCAACTTTGCAAAGCTGGAGCTCGGCTGGCCGCCTCTGCCAGCCCCACCGAGAGGACGTCGGCAGCTTCCTCTAGTCCGCACTGTTCCCTGCCACCCCCCACAAACCCCTAGGCGGCTCGGTCTTACCAGGCGGCGGAGAAGAGGCGCCCAGGCTCCCCGGGAAGCGGCGCCGGTCCTGGGCAGGGGCAGCAGCGCCACCAAGCAGCCCGACCCGCGCGCCCGCCCGCACTCAGGCTCACAGCTGAGCATCCCTCCCAACTCCGCGCACCGCACACACCCGGCTCAGAGGACCGCTCTCTTCCTCTGATTGGCTTCCATCAACGCCACTGATTTAAAGACGTGTATATATAAAGAAGAAAGAGAAGGAAAGACAGACAGAAAGCGTACGCACAAGCTCCCACATTACCAACGGAGACCGAACCCACCTCTGTTCGCCTTCCGGATCCTGGGGACACGCTGCAACTAGCCCAGGATGCTCCTGCCTCCGCCACGGTCGCCGGCTCTTGTGCTTCTTGCTGCTGTGGCTGGAACTGCAGCTCTCGGGATGGGAAGGTTATGGCTCGGGAGAGCTGGCTCTTGTGGGCACACACTGATTTGCAAGTGAATGAAGTGGGAGGGAGCAAAGAGAGGAGGACTTTGTTACAGAGGCCCAGTGCCTGCCCCCGCCCGCCCCCTCCCCTTGACAGAATGACTCCCAGTGTTTGAAGTCCGGAGCAGTTCGCTCTCTGGAACACTCCTGCAGCCCCAGGCTTCCCCTTCCTCTTTTTTTCTTATATATATATATATAATTTTTTTTTAGGGGACGGCTTAAGACATACTGAGAACTTGTGTGACTCTATCTGATCTTTCTTTTATGCTATCAAAATGCACCGCGTTCAATTACCGGCAACGGTCGGATGTTCTTTTCTAATAGACCAGGCAATTAAGATTCCCGGGGACATGGTACCGCGTGGCGCTGTGGGCCAGTTTGGGGGCGACAGCACGCACAACATGCACGCGAATAAAATAACCCCGGTCTCCTGAGGTAACAATACCGACGGCTGTTCTTTATAGCATAAACAGACGCGAGCAGACAGATTCATGAATGTCTTTGCTTCTTTCATTTCAAGAACACGGGTTTTTATTTATTTATTTATTTATTTTTAGCTTCAGGAGCTCTGGTTCTGTTTTGGAGTGGGTAACTCTATAGAGTGCTGTAGCATGAAGCCATATGCCCCCCGAGAGTGTAGAAGCGGTTCAAATCCAAACCTCTCAGGCTCACCAATGTCTCCATGGTTGATCCATCTTCCTAAATGAGCTGATACCAGGATACACTACACTTGCAGATTAAGGTGTATATTGGTATTTAAGACGTGTTTAATGTTTTGAGATCTTTCTGGGAAGTTACTGAAGTCAGATAACGTCTATGTTAAACTCCTTGGTTCACATAACTGTCTGGATGGCTATCCTTATACTTGCCAAGAAACGACTTCTACTGTGAAGGGACTAAGCTGCAGAAATCTTAACTACGTCAAAGCATTGTTAAAGGAGAATCACGACTTTTCTGCATAGAAGACATAGACACGTTGCAGCCAGGCACTGTTGGATTAAGAAAATTAAATCTAATTACCACAATGGTTTCACCCCAGGTCAGTCACATCCCAAGCCAGCTGTTTGTGCATGCTGCAAGCTCTCAGCAAGATTTCCATTGCCTGGTGCTCTAAAGACATTCCAGCCACTTGGTTTCTGAATGTTTTAACTAGCTAGAGGTTGGTCTTCTTCCCAAGAGAGCTCTTACTAGAAAATCTTTTGTGTCCCTAATAGAAGTTCAGGCATTTTAATGAAGCACAAATCAAAGTATTTCTTCCAGGCAGCCGATGCTTCAAAGAATTGTATGTGGAATGGTCTTAGCACAGATGTTCTGCACATGGATGGTGGAAAGACTTGAAAAGACATCCCTGTGATGAGGAGTTGCCTTCAGTTTGCAGACAGGAGGCTGAACATGTTCCCTTCATGTGGCCATTTGAACTGCCGTGGAGAAGGGTTAAGGGAGCGGACAGCTGCTTCACATTTACTCATCCCTCAGGTTACATACTTCTTAATTTGAAAGACTATCTTGGTAGGTCTGTATAGTCCTTTACAGCTCACAATGTATTCTTAGAGACCATTTGATGGCATTCTTTTGTCAATATGATGTGATTTTTTTTTCCTGCTGAAAAAGACAGAGGAAAGAGATTGCTAAAGGCAAGGTAGAGGTTAAGAACGCTACCTAAGGTAATAAAGTCAGGAAGAACAAGAGATGAAGAACTTAGATGTGTATATGCCAACCAGGGTGTCCACAAAGTATGTGTGCCTATATAATTTATTAGCATGTGTGATAATAAATGAATACAGGAGCATATGCAAGTATGTTAATAAAAAATACATTGTGTAAGATTGCCTCTAGCAGACAGATGTATAAATTAACTGATTTTATGCTATATGAAGGATGATAGTGAAATAGATTTTCTATCCATCGAACCAGTTAATATCTCACAAAGGAAATCTCTTAATTATTTGTGATGTATTACCCTTCAAACTCCATTAGCCACACATCAAAGGTAGTTAAAACAACCTCATTTTATTAAGAGTGGACAATCAGCTTGCTCCTGAACAGTTTCATGTGGCAGCATTAAGTGACATTAAGGAGTTTGTAACCCCAGGATATCATACTAAAGGACTTTATGTGATTCTTGGAACTTCCTACTGACACTTACCACAATGACTGTTATTGTTCAATTATGATATTGATAAAAAAAATACCCAGGGTTAGCTCATCTTTTCCGAGGCAGTGGACTGACCATTGCTCACTACTGCTAAGTCCTGCTGTACGCCGCTCTTTGGCACCCTGGAACACCTTGACAAGTCACAGGAACTAGTCAGAGAGTGCTGAAAAAATGTGGCAATCCTTATCATGGCGTGGGGCTTTGTAATGAGCCCAAGAGTGGGATTCTGCAGGGCATCTGGAAAGGTCTAAAAGCAGGTGTTGAGAAGGCATCACGTTCTGCTTTGAGCTATTCTCCTTCCTTTCTTTGTGCTGTTCCTTTAGTTCTCTGCCCCCCTCTGCCCTTAAGTCCACAAGGCAAACAGCACCACCCGTGGCTAGTTCCAGAAGCTTGCCTGTTTTGGAAAGGCAAGACAGGCTACTCTCTTTGTCTCCCCCTCTCCGTTTAATTTCTTGAAGATGGGTAGGGAGCTGGGCCTGGGAAGGGAGTAGAGGGCACATTCATGAGGGCTACCCTGGCTTTTCTAGGACCAAAGTGAACAGGCACACTTAGGGCGTGTCCTTGGATGCTGGGAAGACAATCTAGAAAATCCCTCACTTGCCACACTCCCCTGCTTTCTTGAGTAGGTTGGTGACCTTGAAATAGTGCCAGGTCATGTCATTGTTTTATGTGTACGTGGTAGCCAACATTACTTGACGTCTCCCACCTGTTTTTGTAAAGTTTCATTAAAAAAAGTCTCTCCTTCAGAGACCATGACTAGGGATTGTGTGTGTGTGTGTGTGTGTGTGTGTGTGTGTGTGTGTGGTGTGTGTGTGTCATATGGAGGCAAGCCAGACGTCAAAGTCAGGTACCTTTCTCTATTGCTTTTCACTTTAATTATTTGTTTTTGAGACAATGTGTCCCACTGAATGTGAAGTTGAGGGTTGGCTAGACTGGCTGGCCAGTGACGTATACAGCCCTGCCTGTCTCTACCCCCTCAGCACTGACATTACAGCTGTACCACAAGAGTCAGCTTTTACACGGATTCTAAGGATCTGAACTCAGGTTCTCACGCCTGTGTATCAAGTATTTTACTCACTGACCCATCTCCTCAGCCCAGGGTATTAATTTTGATGAAGAGTGTTCTGATTTCTCCTAAGTCTGTCTTCAAATGATTAATAGACTATCTTATCCCTGCAATAGGGATACATATGAATAAATAATCCTGGGGGCTGAAGTGATGGCTCAGTGGTTAAGAGCACTGACTGCTCTTGCAGAGGACCCGGGTTTGATTCTCATCACCACATGGTGGCTTACAATTCTCTGTCACTCCCGTTGCAGGGAATCTGACACTTGGGGGTAAAATGCACCCTAAATGTGCTACTGTTCGGAAAAACACACTTTGCATTGCTTACAGCTTCATCACTATGGTGAACACTCGTGAGGAGAGTTCACTGAGGCACAAATGCCCTTCCCCCACATCTGCTCTGTATGTTTGAGTGCACACGCACTTCAATGTGTCAGTGAAAGCCGGGAACATGATTAAAAGAGTAGGAGGGAATTTTAGTGACTTCTAAGGGCTATTGAAGCGAAACAAAGGAGACAGGAACTCTCCATGGAATTCCCATTTTTGTAAGCACTGTAGACATCTCAATGTGAGCTCAAACAAATCCATACAAGCTGCATGTGCTTCTCTAGGTTCCCAGCCCTGGGAGAGCTTCCAACATGATATCTAAAGTGGATTGGATCCCTGGTTGCATTAAGATATTTCCCTCCTGATTATTATATTTCACTCATTACTACAGGTAGATTACAGCAAGCTAGGAGACTTCCCAATGAGATAACTATATAGCAGCAAATGCCATTGACCTACACAAGATACTTTTAATACTACGGGCATTTCAGGATCGATAGAATGGATTTATTTCTTCTTCTTCTTTTTTTTTTTTACATTTTATTCACTGCCCTGTTGAAGAATATAAATTTGTCTATTCATATATGTACAACTCAAGTCTGGTAGACTGGTAACCAAAACTGCACTATTACAATGAAGGGACAGGCTTTTGTTCCGGACAGACTGACTATTAAGAAGAAATTTCACATGCTAGTGTGTTCTTTTGCTTTAATCCTGTTTGTAGTGTTGGGGATCAAACTCAGAGCCTTTGCAGGTGCTAGGCAAAAGCTCCACCTCCCATTTTGTTTGTTTGTTTTTCTAGATAAGGGTTTCTCTGTGTAGCCCTGGCTGTCCTGGAACCCAGAAGACCAGGCTGGCCTTGAGCTCAGAGATCCACTTGCCTCTGCCTCCTAAGCGCTGGGATTAAAGGCATGCATCACCATTACTGGCTTAGTGTGTTCTTTTAAATAAGTGGCATATACCAAAATAAACACAAAATCCTACATTTTCCTCCAAGAAGCAAAAAAAAAAAAAAAAAAATTTTCTCCTCTCACACCAACCCACCTCCCAATTTTAGCAACACTTGATTAGGAAGAATGACAGGCTGAAGTGGGGGAAGACAATATAATAGCATATGTTCAAAAATATTTTGGGATTTTATAGATAGTGAGAACATCAAATTTCACAGTGTATCATGGCTGTCAAAAAGAAGGCAAAGATGAAGGTGAGAGATGGAAAAAGACAAATTATTGTATGTATAAGTACTCTGTCTAGAACAGACCCTCGCTCACCTTGGCCTTCAGTACCTCTTTGGGTGCCATATTTAGTTTCTCTTTTCTTCTTGGTTTCTTATCTTCTTTTACACATCCCAAGATACCCTTAGTGCTCTGGCTAGACTTCATTGCTTACATATTCTGTTTCTTCTGCTATTTATATTTACACTGAATTATTGAAATAACAGCATTTGTTTGTTTTAGTTATTGTTTTATCTCTGATGCTAGAGAAAACACTTGGTGTTTATATAAACGAATAAGCAGAAATTCAGACAAATGAGAGTGGATTCAGTGGATGGAAAGTGGAGATAGGTTTAAAATCATGCTTACGAGTTAATGGTAATAAGACTGAAAAAGAGAGGATTCCTGTCCTTGGACAACTGTCCTATGGAATGATTAAATTGGCCTTTTCTTTTTCTTTCCTTTTCTTCTATTGCCGGGGATTGAACCTATGGCCTTACACATGTTAGACAAGCCCTCTATCACTGAGCTACATTCCCAGTCTTCAGGCTGGTTTTAATGTGTCAGAAGCTTCAGCCACGAGACAATGTCATATTTTGTTGATTCTACAACACCCCTATTTTCATATTTTGACCTCATGAAAATGTCTGTATGTGCCTGTGATAACTGGTAAGCTAAGAAAGTATGACATCATGGTATAATTGGCTGGTCCTTTCTTTTTCTCAGTGACACATAAAATAATGTCACTGCTTCCTACCATTGGCATTTGAAATCTGATCAAATGATGAAAGGGCATAGTTGATTTTAGCTCATCACACAGAGGGTTTTCAAATTTTCTGTGGTTCAAGATGAGAAATGCTGGCAACTTGAGGCAGAGATGAGTCCTACCTCTGAAGACATTTTGTCATGTTCAGGATGACCCTTGTCATGAATGATTCTGCACATCTTTATCAAACATGATTTTAATGAATTTATATACAAGCTTCTTTTCTTTTCTTTTTTTATTTTAGACGAGAAAACAAGTATCACCCATGTCAAATCCAATGCCACATCTTACTAGAGTTCGAGGAACTGAACACAAAATGATTCTCATTTTTCAATCTTAAACTTCTTTCATTCACTGTCTATTCTTGCTTTCAATATAGGCTTAAAGCACAGAAAATGGGCACATCAATATTTTCATAGGAACAATAACATGCACTGTATTCAAAGGATATGCCAGGAACCTGCTCTTTTTTATTTTTTAATTTCATGTGTGTGTTGCATGTGCATGTGTGAGTGCAAGCATTCAAGGAGTCCAGAAGAGAGCATCAGATGCCCAGGAGCTGGAGTTATAGGCAGTTGCAACTCACTCACGGTGGGTACTCAGAACTGAACTCAGACCCTCTACAAGAGCAGTGAGTGCTCCCAACTGCAGGCTCATCTCTCCAGCCCACCAGGCACTTGTTCTTTATGTACATAACCTTATCTAGTCTTTCTGACAATCTGTGCACCAGATATTGCTACCTCCTCCTTTTCAGATCAGGGAAGCGAGGAATGGGAGGCACTTTGCTCAAGGTCACACAAGGTAAAGACTTGCAGCTGAGGTGCAAGCCCATACTTTGAAGTGAGCTCCTGCAGGTGTTTTCAGACCTGCAGAACTTACTGCTGAGCCTATGTGCCATGATGTGAAAATTAGAACCTGCCAAGGTCTGAAATGTCTGGTTCTAAGGTAAACATGTTTTGAGTGTCACACGACTGTCTTCTATATTATTTGCTTCAAAATATCTGGATAATCATTTTAGTTTTCTAGTGGATTTATTTCCAAACCATATTTTTGCTGTCCAAAAAAAATTGTGTTCAAACCATACTTTTGCTCAATTTAAGGGCCAGTGAATAAGCAACATAACTTTTTCTTTCAAATCAAGAAAATTCAGCTTTATTTTGTCGTTGATGTATACCGCCTGCTTCCAATGTTTCCTACCTAAGGATTCTCTAAAACGGAGAAAAGCCAGTGTGCAGCTCATTTCTGCTCCTTTTAAGCAGAGTTAGAATCCATTCTTGACCCCCATTTTCCATTTACTTCATGTACTTCACCATCTACAAAGGTGTGTTGACTCTCACTAGCTTTTCGTCAGCTGCCTCTGAGCATTTCTTGACCTTCAGGGGAAGTCTTGATTCTTAGGATGGAATCCTTCCTAGAGGGTCAGGAAGAGCTCTGAGTCACAGCTGTGGTCTTCTCTATACCCCTTGGAAAATTTACTTAAAATTCTAGTGCTTGGGCCTTTTCCTGGGGAGGCATGACACACACATCTAACCCAGATAGGAAGCCCACAATAGATCAAAGTACGGATGTCAGTCGCCAAAGTCCATCTTGGTGAACCAATGGGCTTTATTTGGGTTACTTAGAGGAGTTTGGGTGACAAGTTACTTACAGGAGAAGAAATGGATCACTAAAAGCCTACCCCATTGTAAGTGACAGCCCACGAAAGCTGGGACCCTGGAGCACACTGCATGACTTGCTGCCAGTGGAACAGGACGGCAGATCTCCCAAAGGCAAGTCGACTGCTCACAGCCTTCTCCATTCACACCTGTTCACTGCTTTCATAACTTCGGGGAGGGCCTCTCACGAATCTTTTGGGTGCCAACGTTCCCAGACAGTGAGGTTTGTTTACTCTCTGATTCTTTTGAGCCTCCCCAGTCCTTTCCTAAAGGGAATGTTTCAATTCAGAGGAAACTGTTTCATATAAAAAAATTCCTCTAGAAGTAAGAAGGAAATGGAAGTACATTTGAGCGTTAGTTGATAAGAAACATCGTAAAAGTCTTACATTCAATTCTTAGTACTTATCCAGACATGCTAATGTTGAGAATAGAACCAAACCTTTTGATGTGCTGATGGCTTACTAAAAAATTGTGTCACACTGGCCAAGTCTTCATCTTTCGGTCCATTTTCTTTAACTGTAAAACAAGGAATACAGTGGAGTAAGTTTTCATCCTTGTGGTCATTTATTGAATCTTATCTGTACTTGCTATTTTTCATGTGGCCACTAGGGGGACAAAGACAAGCTCTTTCTCTGTAAGCTGTTGCTGTAGTCCATTACTG